ACTAGAGGAGATTTAGGCAGGGATTATTATAATGATAAGAGATTGGAAACACTTGTGGGGAAGTGCATTATTGCAAGTGAAACTAAAAATCAGAAGAGACTTTTAGGCTTCTCACCAGGAAATCTTGTGTGCAACAAAAATGCAAGTGTATATTCTGTACAGTTTGAAAAGTACAGTCACTAATTTTCTCTTTAGAGCGTTGATCACTGTAGTGATGACCCTTGAGTAATTGAGTACAGCTAAAATGTTCATTGATCCCTTTAAAACTAATTTATAAATAATTGGCTCCCTTTTTAAAAGTAATTCTCTCCTGTGTGACCTTGTGTTTTTGGAGACGTAGCTCTTCCATTATTAAGATGTTCTGTACGTTAAATGTATAGAAAGCAGAATTTCAAGGTTTTAATATCAAAGCAGTGGAAGAATTTAAAGATTATCTAAAGTTAATTATCACTGTTAAATCCCTGTTCTTGGGTCAGGTGGCCTTTAGCATGTGTCATTTGCTCTACTCTAAATATTTGTACTGTTTCCTCAAGGTGGCTCACAGGACTATATATCCCAAACTAGATCTATTTAGGAGCTGTGAGGTGGATTTGGAGCTTGGGCTGTGAAGGGAATAAGAGTTATGGAACTGGCCAATACAGTGGAGATCTTAGTGTGGTAATAAACTAGTGCAAGTGAACAAAGTACTGGGAACCACTGCTAAACGCAACCTCAATTTCTCACTACAGAGTTGTACGTAGTGAGAAATAATACATATTGGCAAAAAACATGCTTCTAAAAACCAAGCAACTATGCTACATACAAAAGATAACTAAAGTCTGGAGAGAGACTTCAAAGACCTTGATGATCATCGTACGTAGAAGAATGCATGCACAACACTCCAATGAATTTCCAATAAGGGGCAAAATATATATTTCACATATTAAATATGTGACCTACAGAATTCAGATACTTATAATCACAAAAGATATGCTATAAAAGAGATGTAATTCTTATTTTAATGTACTTGGTTTCATATCACACATCAGACTTCAAATACCTAGGTGTACAAGTGGGATGCCTTCTTAACACTGCCCCATTCTATCCTTCCTAGACATTTTGGTCCTTTACTCTGAATTCCCATCCTTTTGTTGGTTTGTCATGATTCTGTTCTTTTTAATGTAGTTTGTGTGTGTAAATTTTATATTTACTGAAGTAAAGGTTGTTTTTGTGTAAACATTTAAACTTTAAAAAAATAAGCTAATTTTGTTTCTCAACTTCTCTCTGCTAAACCAAGCAGTAGAAAGAAAATTTGTATTGTTAAATAAATCAATTAGTTGTTAAATGAGCACGTGTGTCTGTTTCCCTGGGGTTGGGGAGAAATCTCTTCCAGTCCTGACTGCATCCAAGAACCCCTACAGCCAATTTGAAATGCTAAATCAAAAGAGAAGTTGAAGTGTATAACAATCCATTGTCTTAGCTCTCCTACTGCGAATAATCTCTCCTGGCAAATCAGTGAGTATGCTTTTATTTTATTAAAAATCCAGTTCTGTGATTTCCTAGCCCCAACTAGTGCTGCCTGGAAAATGTCAACATAAATGACATTTTGGTGAAAAACGTATTTAAAATTTCAAAATTCCCCCTCCTCCTTTTCTGGACCTTCTTTTTCCTCTCCAGAATCTACATGATTTGCAAGTCAAACACAATGAGCTCAACTAGCACTCTGGTTCCAGCTCTTTTGCACCATTTGGAAAACTACCCTAATGGGGCAGCCAGGGATTCCCCATCACAGGAAATCCGCACACAGGGAACTAGTACAGGCAGTTTTGTGCCACCCTTTTCAGCATAAGCTTGTTGGAGGGCAGGGAGGGAAAGAAAGGTGCATGCCGGGGCAAATGGAGATTTACACTCTGCCAACTTCTTGTCCACTACAGCCACTGCCTGCAGGCAATGTAACTTAGAGCAGCTTTGGAGCTGTTCTAAATTATGCCCAGGGCATTTTCAGAAATACTGTAGTATTCAGTTTCCCATGAAAAATGATAGATTTAAAGGAACAGAAGGCAGTTAATATACTAAAATATCCTTATTTGTATATTTACAGAAGCTCCTGAATTATTCATAAGACAGCAGTTTCCTGGTCTATGATATCTATCCTTGTAAAACATCAGCTAGCTAAAAGGAATGTGATCAAATACAGTGTAGGCCATAATGCCCTGTGATTATCAGAAATACATCACTGGAAGAGGAGGGTATCGCTTGAGGCTAGATTGTGAGAATGTAATCGGCCCGGAGTTGCACTGCCCCATAAGCAGGCCTGAAACTGAATTAGCTCTACTTCTAGGAAGAGGTCTATGCCAGCCTGTTAGCAGGTGCAGATTTGTTCTCATTCTGGACTGGCTCAGCTGTGTTGGGAGAGCATCATGCAGGGTAGAGTCAAGGCTCTGCCCTTTGCCGGCCTGTCCATGTGGGGGGGAGCTGCAGCCCCAGGGGGTTCTCCCCTCCCCCCGATGTTGTGACCTGTGAGGTGGGTACAGAACAAGTCACAATCCTGCCCTTCACAGTCATCTTATAATGGTGCATTAACATACTTGTGTTTCAAGGGATTTATGATTTATCTAAACATATTTACCTGCATATCTTTGCAGCTCCAATGGGCTTCCTGCTGATCCTGCATAGGCCACCACAGAGAGCTGCAAGGGAGAGGGCCAAGGAGCTGGCAACTGAAGTTACACTTTACATTAATCCTGTGGCCCCAAAGTCCCTTGGGCTCAACTTGTGTGGGGAAGAAGCAGCTACTTCTGCCTCTAGCTAGGGAGCGGGTGCAGGAGCGCTGGGCGGGTGGGCAGGCGGACTCGGCCAGGGCACCAGGACATTCCAATTGGGGCCTGGGCCCAGTTGCCCCAGTGGCTAATCCACCACTGAGTGGCAGTTGTCTATCAAATGGGCATTAGCTCTCCAAGGAACACCAGTAAACCTGGAAGGGAGATTTTGTATTTTTCTGGTACTGGCTGTTTGTAGGGGGAATATGTTCTTTACAAACTAATAGCAACATACATTGGGAAGGTTTCATTGCACAGAAGGGGTCCCTGATGGCAAGTTATCAACCTGCTTCTGCATGGCCCAGGTGAAAACAGCAGCCAGCTCATGTCATCAATCTGGGCTTTGTCTCTCTCTACAGAATAACTGGCAGGCCATCATTTCAAGAGGAGCTCCAGATGGCAAAAATTCCAGGCTCCACTGAGTGAGCTGTCATAGATGAGATTTTTGGGATCTGATATAGGTAGCTAATAGGGGTGAGCCTCAGTCCTGTGGGAGACCATTTTCCAGTATGCACCAACTGGACATATCCCTGAAGCAAACCGCTGAGTTAGACATCAGCGATCTAACATTTATCTGAGGAACCACTCAACAGCAGTAGGAAAGGATATATAGGGACAATAAATGGAAGCTAAATGAAACTGCTGAAGTACAATTGTGTGTGGTGGGATTACTTTCAGCCAGTGATTGTAGCAGCCTGTCTTTGTGCTTATATATTCCAGTACTTTAGATGTTCTTTATATTTATGAAAATTTGGATCAGACTGCAACTTGCTATTGTTTCTTTTTTCAGTTTTTTGCTGGAGCTAGTATGCTAATTGTTCATTATCAGAATTATTTGTTACAAATATGCAACAACATTTTTCATTCTAATTCAGTTGTACCATTGTTGATTTCCAATTAAACTGTTTTAATAACTATGGATTTAATGGCAGTAAGAAACACATTCATATAATCTACCTTTTAAATTGCACAAATAGTTTTAGTAGATATTTTAATGGAATATGACTTGAATTATTTCCCTTATGTTAGAGAGCACAAATCAAAATTACACAGTGGTTTTCCTTGATGATTATGCTATTTGTTACCTTTTGCAAAGATGTTTATCTAGTTTGGTATATATAACATAAGCAACTAATTTACCTTCACTGAACATAACCACAGTTTTGTATTGCCTGCAGTATAATATTTGATCCAAGCATTTCTAAAATAGTTCAGGAAAATTAAACCAGAAAATGGATTGTTGTTGTGTTAAGGGAAGTAGTATTAAGTGAATCCTGGAGGGATCAAAACTAGGCAGATTTCTATATTTCTTGAGCTATATGATTGACTTAGATATGGAGACTACTTGCTTTGAAGTCCTGAACATGAAAGGTGTCAGAGGCAGCCAAATACACTGACTAGATAGCTAGCAAAATCCAAAGGTTGTTAGCTTTGCTATGGATTTTCACTGACATGAGACCAAAAAAAAAAAAAATTGAAGCTGGCCATTATGTGAAAAATGATGATGATAAAAAAATACTGAACTATGCATTAAAAAGTAAAGCTAGGACAAATCAAACACTTAGTCCCAAACATTGGTCTTCATAGTTGTCAATCCCTTGAACTTCATAGAAGTTGCACAACTAAATGAAATATTTTGTAAAATTCTCCTTAATGAATTTTATATCAAAGTTTCAAATCTATCTTCATTGGGAGATGTGTGTAAATAAGGCCATCCATTCAGAATTTTACACATCCCAATTTCAACATTTTGGCCTTGAAGCTGGATTTTCTGAATGGCATTAGGCTTAGTTCATTTTCTGACAAGGACCCTCTACACTCCTGAGAAGCTCTCTCCTTTAACCCAAGCTAGTCCAATTTCACTGCTTCAGCCTAGGTGAGGAGGACTGAAAGAGGCTTCTCATCAGAGCCCCTCAACAACAGTTGTTTAATCAGCTGAAAGGGTGATTTCTCACTGACTTAGGACACTCCTGTAGCAATTGCAAACTGGCCTATTTCCTCGGTGCTGTGATGGGAGTATCCTAAACATCTTTGGAGGGTCTGGCTGGGAAAGAACCTTGTTCCTGGCACATTTAGGAGAAGGCTCTTCCCTTGTCGCTTTTAGTAAAGTGCTTTAGAAATGGCCGCCTGCCCCTGCCAACACCCCTCATTTCCACATGGTTGTGAAAAGGAAAGAGAGAAGTTCTGTTACCTCCACCTCACCTGGTTCCTTGAGGGAGGAATTGTGAGGCACTCTGGCAATGTCCCATCAGCTCTTTGTCCACTGTTTTACCAGGTAGATATCAGCTTTCAAAGCATCTCTTGGCTTTCATCAGGAAGTGATCTGGGGATGGTAAAAAATAAATTACCATCTAAAATGAAACAGCATTTTGTTTTAAAAGACCAGGTTGGAAGTTTTTGAGCATGTGGGTGAGGGTTACAATAGCATTACACGCTGGGGCATGTCAGGTACATGCTGATCAGTGAGCAGGCGGGGGTTAGTTAATAAGGGCACTGAGAGCTTCATGTACTGGCTTCATAGACAGTGGTGTTTCAGTCATAGGTAGAGTATTTGTCTGTACATTCCCAGTTTGAGGGAGTATTTGAATGGCCAAGTCCACTTCTTCCCCTCAAATATGCTAGGGGTGCAGGGCTGAGAAGGAAGGCCCTGCAGCCCCACTGCACATGAAGGGAGAAAGGGAAGACCCAGAAACTCCCCATATAATATGGGGGAGAGTTGGGAGGAGGGAGAGAGGGATAATCCTCCCATTTGCTTTTGGTTTCTGTGAGTCAGGAAGAAAGAGAGATCTCTGGCTACTTAGTTATTTATCAGAGGTGGGGAAAGGGTTAGAAGGTTTTGCCTCTGCTCAGAATAGGCTTTCCCTGGAGATTCCCCATTGTTGGGATTAATCAAGTTGTAAGAGCTTTTCTTTTAGAATAATTGGCAGTTTTATCATGTTAGATGAAATAAATCTCCACTAGATGTCAGCGTAACACAGTTTACAGCCATATACTTGACAGCACCTGAAGTTATGTAACACACTGGCTCTCCTGGAAATGAGCTTTATAGAAGCCAAGGTACTTGAGCTTACATGCCTTTCCTTCCAAATGCCTTTTTGTAAATAGGATATAAAATATAACTTTGGAACGAAAAGCTGCCTGTAGAAGGCTGGGGATTCAGGTAATTTGTAATGGGATAGTGCAAGGTTCACCTCCAGGTCACCAGTTCAATGATACCTAGTAAGCCTGGAAATTGTTTCCATATGTTGGCTGTGTGACAGCCAGGATCTGTGGAGTTCCTAATGGGCATGGATAAGAGCACAATTGCCATCAGGGCCAGCAGACAGGCCGAAGGAGGCATGGGCATGACCTGATGCCCTGTTTTTAAAGGGACAGTCCCATTTTGGGGGACTTTTTCTTATATTGGCACCTATAACCCCTCCCCCTGTCCTGTTTTTTCACAGTTGCTATCTGGTAACCCTGCATGGGCATGGAGACTGAATGCCTCCTGGGGGACTCTCTCTTGCCTTTGCATTACCTGGCCTCATAGTAAGCAGAAAGCTTTATTCTTCACTGCTGCCAATCTGTCATCCTCCATAAGCACTAAATTCAGTTAAAAAGTATTTAATTTGTTCAAAATGGGAAGACCCTGCTACAGCCTTGTTAAATAGAGGTGTTCAGCACAATACTCATTTCTCGCCCACTCTCCTAAAACAGGTTTGAAACCTACAACAGTAAAAATATTCTTATCAACCTAAGAGGATGGGAAAAACATAAAACATTTTGGGTACTAGTCTATGACCATCCCACCTAACACTGTACCTATCTGCTTTGGGTATATCTTTATCCCAGAAAAGAGAGAAGATATATTTGGAATTGTAACGGGGTGCACTCACCTGTCACATGCATCCCCTTGGCCAAATGCGTATGCCTGCCCTCTCTCTCAGTTTGCTCCTGCTCCAGGATAGTGTGGTGCCCGAGGGCTCCCTCCCTGGGGACAAAGTCTTCAGCCTGTTGGGGCCTTTCTAGTCACAGCTCTCCAGATGGGCCACTACAGTTCAGTTTCCCCTCTGGGGTACCTCAATGTCCAGATCAGTTCCCCCAGTGGCTAATGGGTGGGGCAAGGAGGGACCCAGGCCTACCCACTATTCTGGGTCCCAGCCCAGGAACCCTGTAGGTAGCAGCCATCTACTGTGTCCCTTTATGTCGTACCGGTGCTCTAATTCGCTGGGCCACTTCCCTGCATTGTCTTCACCCTTACTTCAGGGCCTGGCCCTAATGGAGTCCCAGCAACCAGTGCTACCCGGGGTTCTTTCAACCCAAAGCTCTTGGTAACTTTACTCTGTGCGAGGAGGTGTCAGGAAATAAATCAGGGGAGACACGGCTGTCCGACCGATAGATGGCTGGCACAAACAGGACAATACAAGAGTGCTTTCACTTAAAGCTAAACTTTACTAGTCTCAAGCACTTACACACGTCCACAACAAGATTAGTAAAACACCCCCAACCCTTGATAATTACCAAAGCGGAGTGTGGCTTTTGAGTGACACAGCGGCAGGCTTCCGGTGGTCAAATCTTTCATCTGCCGGTGGGGACCGCTAGATGTATCCAGAGGGAGAGTCCAAAAGAGTCCCCAAATGAGTCCAACTATCTCAAGCTTTTTCCCCTTATTTATACACCAGTAATAGAATGACATGTCCCTTAAAGAAACCTTGTTAAGTAAGCAGTTTCAAGTAAGAGGTGCCTTCTGATTATTGATTAACCAGGTGTGGGTTTTTCCAGAGTCTGCAGCTCTGAGACCCCAATAGACATTCCTGCTCTTTTAAAATGCATGAATCAGCAACTTCAACACAGTTCTCATCAGGAAGGACACGGAGTCAAGCTGCCCCTTCCGTGGCACCCCAAAACCCCCTCCCTTCCTGCCTTGGTCAAGCTGAGTTTGCTGAATGGCCGATTTACAGCTTGCTGACTAGGTTGCTTTTTAACAATAAGCCATAGTGGTTTTAGGCACTTTACTGGTTTGCCAAAGTCTCCCCGCACACCAGGGCTCCTCCTCACACTCCCCAGCTTCTGGCAGCACTGCCCTGTCTGGGGTTCTGCAGCTCCATCAGCCAGCCACACCCCATCCATGCTCCTGCAGCTCCAGCAAGGCACTGAACTTCCTCTGGCCCTGCAGCTCTTCTTATACTAGACTGCTGGGCTCTGATTGGCTGTGTCCCATATAGCCACTCTAGGCAGTTTAGAGGATCCTCTCCACTGCCCTTTTCTGGGGAAGGGTTTGGCAGGGCCAGGAGGCCTCCAGCAGGGGGCCTCTGAGTGTCTGGCATACCCTGTCACAGGAATATTGAGAACTGGCTACAGTACCAATAAAAATGCAACGATATCAAATAAAAATAGTCTAGTTTGAAAGACAATTGCCTTGAAACAACAGCCAAGGCAAAGCATGGAAGAGAAGGGAAAGCTGAATGTAGGAGAGAAGGATTTGGGTCATCTTATTCAGGTCAAGGCTTTGCAGATGGATAGCGTAGGCCTGCCTTGACAGGGGAACTACAGGCCAGTCAGCCTCACCTCAGTCCCTGGAAAAATCATGGAGCAGGTCCTCAAGGAATGAATTTTGAAGCACTTAGAGGAGAGGAAAGTGATCAGGAACAGTCAGCATGGATTCACCAAGGGCAAGTCATGCCTGACTAACCTAATTGTGTTCTATGATGAGATAACTGGCTCTGTGGATGAGAGGAAAGCAGTGGATGTGTTATTCCTTGACTTTAGCAAACCTTTTGATAGGGGCTCCCACAGTATCCTTGCCAGCAAGTTAAAGAAGTATGGACTATAAGGTAGAGAGAAAGCTGGCTAGATCATCGGGCTCAACGGGTAGTGATCAATGGCTCCATGTCTTGTTGGCAGCCAGTATCAAGCGGAGTGCCCCAAGGGTTGGTCCTGGGGCCGGTTTTGTTCAATATCTTCATTAATGATCTGGAGGATGGCATGGATTGCGCCCTCTGCAAGTTTGCAGATGACACTAAACTGGGAGGCATGGTAGATACACTGGAGGGTAGGGATAGGACACAGAGGGACCTAGACAAATTAGAGGATTGGGCCAAAAGAAATCTGATGAGGTTCAACAAGGACAAGTGCAGAGTCCTGCACTTAGGACAGAAGAATCCCATGCACTGCTACAGACTAGGGCCTGAGTGGCTAGGCAGCAGTTCTGCAGAAAAGGACCTAGGGGTTACAGTGGACGAGAAGCTGGATATGAGTCAACAGTGTGTCCTTGTTGCCAAGAAGGCTAACAGCATTTGGGGCTGAATAAGTAGGGGCATTGCCAGCAGATTGAGGGACGTGATCATTCCCCTCTATTCGGCATTGGTGAGGCCTCATCTGGAGTACTGTGTCCAGTTTTGAGCCCCACACTACAAGAAGGATGTGGAAAAATTGAAAAGAGTCCAGTGGATGGCAACAAAAATTATTAGGGGGCTGGAGCACATGACTTATGAGGAGAGGCTGAAGGAATTGGGATTGTTTAGTCTGCAAAAGAGAGGAATGAGGGGGGATTTGATAGCTGCTTTCAACTACCTGAAAGGGGGTTCTAAATAGGATGGATCTAGGCTAGTGGTAGCAGGTGACAGAACAAGGAGTAATGGTCTCAAGTTGCAGTGGGGGAGGTTTAGGTTGGATATTAGGGAAAAAAAATTCACTAGGAGGGTGGTGAAGCACTGTAATGGGTTACCTAGGGAGGTGGTGGAATCTCCTTCCTTAGCGGGTTTTAAGGTTAGACTTGACAAAGTCTTGGCTGGGATGATTTAGTTGGGGATTGGTCCTGCTTTGAGCGGGGGTTGGACTAGATGACCTCCATCCAATCCAAAACTGTGTACTTTATTGTATAGAAAATACAATGTAATGTGTAAATGTATATAAAGAAAGAGGTTGTCTCTGTAATTTTGGATGTGTGATACGCTCGATACCCATGCCCTATGTTTGAATCTGATCAACTCAGCGTAGCTTTGCTATCTGACAAATAAAGAAACCTGATGAAATCCAGAGTCAAACTGAGTGTTTTGGATTCCAGAGAACTGGATGAAGTGTTCTCCCAGAACTGGACAAGGTGTTCTAGATAAGCCAAATGGAAAAGGTCTTGGAAGGAATCCCAACAAATAGCTATCATCCACATGAAGTGAAAGAGTGTTCAGTCCTTTATTTTTTACTAGATTAACTATTAGACTGCCTGGATTAAATACACATTCATGCATATGCGCCATCTGGAAATTAGCCAAGTCCTGTTAAGGTGCTTTAAATAACAATTTGTCTTTCATTGGAGTTGTTTTATGCCTTACTCTCCATGTTCTATTCCAATGCTCAAATCTTGGAAGAGTTTATTCTAATCAGTGAAAGTCATAGTGAACTATTACTGTGTAATTGATCAGGGATTTTTCTTGGCACTTAATTTATATTTTGTTACTAGAAGAGTGACCTCAGCTAAACATTATAAATCAGGTAAAGCTGACATAGGTGACTTGTAGGTTTCTAAGGCTTTCCACTTTGATTATATACACCTCTACCCCCAATATAACGCTGTCCTCGGAAACCAAAAAATCTTACCGCATTATAGGTGAAACCACGTTATATTGAACTTGCTGTGATCCGCTGGAGTGCGCAGTCCCGCTAACCTCCCCCTCTCCCCCCGGAGCGCTGCTTTACCGTGTTATATCCGAATCGCGTTATATCGGGGTAGAGGTGTACTTGCTTATTTAGCTATCAGGGACTAATACGGTTTTCTTATTCTCCAGTAGCCATTCCAGAGTGTAATAAATTGACTTATGATGCAAGGTTAAATATTTTAAACACACCAAATTGCTAATGATTTGCAAAGGCTTTAACTGAGTGATTAAAGTGGTCATTGATGTTTCAGGCCTCAAAGTGTAAATCACACACTTTGTAAAGGAAGTCTTGCACCATCAGATTTAGACAGTCTTCAAAGTGAGGCCTATGGAATCACCACAGCACACGTATAGGCTTTCTTTGCCCTATTAATTTACATTAGGAACCTGGAGTGAAGCTATTAAACTGCAGATGTCTTAAGGTGTTGCCTGTGGTAGGGTCTTTATTGAAGCCAATTACAGAGTCAAACTGCAAAGGGTTATACATTTATGCAAATTGTTCAAATTTACACTCGAGAGCCAACATAGCTCTACAAAAATGCTGGAATCCCTACAGAATCACTGCCAAGTCCCACAAATTGCACTGTGGGGATCCAGGACTTTCTAGCTTATGGCATATATAGTCTCCTGCTCGAGACAGAGCGTACCAAGGGATTTGTAAGAGAAATCCGGTGGGCAGTGAGCCATGTAATCTACAACTTGATCATGTTCCTTATTTCTGTTTGGAGATGAATTATTTTAAATCAGAGCATGCCTCAGGGCATACTAGGTCTAGAGCTATCGAATGCCAGAATTATATAGCAGGCACTTGTGGCTCAGGCTTGGTTGTGTCCTGACACTTAGTGGGAACATGCACTCCACAACTTTGAAAAAAAACATGAGATTAAATGCAGGCTTAAAATGATCGTCTCATGGTAACGCAGTTGTGCAGCTATGATTATGTTGCTAGTTTCTTTTGGCTTCAATTTTTTCCTTGATCTTAACTCCTTTTGCGTTGAATGTATTGATCCTAGTAAAGTAATACTCACCTTCAAACATTGCAGCGTGATGGTTAAATAGGATTATACTTTACTTTTTTGGGCAATCTTGGAAGACCTAAAAAGGAATTCCATTGCCTTGAGCAAATGCATAGATATGTATCCATCCATCCTCCCTCCCGCTTTCTCCCCTTCCTCTGTGTGGTTGGGTTTAGAATAACAGTCTGAGAAGGCACTGTTGATACTTTTTCTTTGTCCTTCAAATGATGCCCATCATGATAACAGTCTGGGTTAAACCAAAATTGTGCAGATCAAAGTAGTTGCTCACCTTGGAAGCTGCTATGCTAGGTTTGTTAGCACTGTTTGTTTATTTGGATTTACACAACTCCATTACATTAATGGATAATCTAACCAGCTAAATACATGCCTACTCTCTTCCCTGGGAACCTTTGCCACATGATAATGCAAAGAAAAATAAACCTAGAAACTTCCTCAAAGCCAGAAAGGAAAACCAAAACCACTGCAGACCCCAAGACCCAGTTCTTGGCACAAAAATTCCACTTACCCTGGGAAAGAGATGACCTTTTCAGAGTTTCACGAGGCTGGGGGTATTCTGGACCTTGAAGAAGAGGGAATTCAGAAGTTCAGGGCCCATCATAGCAAATGCTCTATCAGCAGCTCACTTTGTCCCTGGCACTAACTTTGGCTGTAAGGACCTTATGTGTTGCTTGGGATTTCTTGAGGGTTTTTTATTATTATTATTGGGCAGGTGGGTAGGAGTCAAATGTCACTAGACAGGTTAAAGCCTTGCCTCTTTTTTGTTTGTGTGTCTTAAATCTAGCAGAAGTTTCCATACTTCTCCAACACTATTAGGATTGTGGTGAGGCACAAGCTATTGGAACTGCTGCTGCTTCAAAAGGGTGCTCAAGTTACTTCTACAGCTGCCAA